ATCGAGGCAAGCGATGTTAGCTCAGCCCCTCCGGTTGCGGACACCACGGACGGGGTAACGCACGAAACTCAACCAACCTCTACCATCGAACGTCTATCTCGCTCGATGCCGTAGCTGTCCCTCGGCTATGCCCAACGCCTGGGTCCACGAGTCCGTCTCACCCGATCCCTCGGCTGTCCCTCGGCACGCCCGACGGCTGCGCACCGATGCCTTGGTTGACAACTCCGACTCGCCCGATCCCACGGCTGTCCCTCGGCTGCGCCCAATGCCCGGGTCCACGAGTCTGTCCCGCCCAATCCCTCAGCCGTCCCTCGGCATGCCCGACGGCTGCGCACCGACACCTTGGTTGATGACTCCGACTCGCCCGATCCCTAGGTCCTCGAGTCTGTCTCACCCGAACCCTCGGCGCGCCCAATGCCTGGATCCGTGACTCTGACTCGCCCGATCCCTCGGCGTGCCCGATGCCTAGATCCGCGACTCCAACTCGCCCGATCCCTCGGCGCGCCCGACGCCTTGGTTGGCGACTCTTATGTCTTGGTTGATGACTCCGACTCGCTTGGTCCCTCGGCCATGCCCAAATGCCTGGGTCCGCGCTCTTGGAAACAATGGATCAGAAACTGGAAAGAGGAAGCTATGCCCACCAAGGTGCACTCGCACACGCCCGCTGACAAAAACCCCCTGGCGATTCTACCTAAATCGCCTGGGGGCTCGAGGGCTACACCCACCAGGTGCGCTCGCGTGCACCCGCTGGCAAAATGGAAAATTCCCCCGCTGGCAAAGTTAAAAAAATCCCCTAGGCGATTCTACCTAAATTGCCCAGGGGCTCGGGGGCTACACCCACCGGGTGCGCTCGCGCGCACCCACCGACAAAATGAAAAAAGCCCCCAGGCGATTCTATCCAAATCACCCAGGGGCTTGGGGGCTCCTGTCAGGTTCATAAACCCAGGGTCCCTAATGGGCCTGCTTTCCAGCAAAAGCTCGACCCAACAGACGACGTTGCGAACGATGCACGACTCCTGGGCTGGCCCAGATACCTAAACGACAGGCCGAAAGAGCGATCCAGTCTCTGACCAGAAGGTCTGGTCAAAGAAGGTGGCGACCCTCGCTTCCGACTCCGACCTGCTTCTCCGACCGGATGGCATGCCAGAGGAGGAGACGACGCTCGCTTCCGACTCCGACACGCGTCTCCGACCGGAAGGCCTAGCCAACACCCGCCTCCGTCTCCGTCTCCGACCCACTTCTCCGACCTAGGATACACCGAACCTTTGCTTACATCTCTTCTCTGACCAGGGCAGTCGGAGCCGACTGGGACCAACCGACCGGGGATGCTCGCTCGGTAAAGGACCCAGGAAACGGGCGAAGCAAGTAAGCCAGGGCGCTCAAGTCAACCGCAATACCAAGGGCCGTACCCTGCACGCCTGCATGACAGTACCGACAAGGCATGTCAGAAGGGTGCCCTACAACCTTCCAGGCATGTCAGAACCCGAGCAGTGTTGTAGGCGCCGACATTTGCCCTACAATGTTATGGGCGCCATCAACTCCCATACCAGGAAAACGTGGTAAGGCCCCCCACATGTGTCTGACATGAACAGTATTGTGGGCGCCTACAACCATCTTGTACCCAGCGGCGTGGGCAACAAGACTTGATAGCATACACACTCTCTCACACACACTTGTAAGGTCATCCCCTTCGTCTATAAAAGGGGATGCGTTCTCTCCCAATAGAGGACAACTCGAACGACAACAACAGACGGATCACTCTGATTCACTCTCTGCTAGATTTAGACACTCTAAAGCTACACAGAGCACATGCTCGAATACTCAACGCACGTAGGAGCTCCCGTCACTCTCGACCCTTCAGACCAGAGTCCGACCAAACCACTTGCACCCCCCATCTTACTCCTACTCATTTGTAATCCCACTGCAAACTTTGAGCACCCGGGCTCAGGAATAAAGTCACTGACCGACTCAAACTGGACATAGGGCACGTTGCCTGAAACAGTATAAACCCTGTGTCATTGAGTGCTAGGCCACATCCGATCACAATGTATAGCAAAACTATAAATATTTACTTGTTGGTCACTTTTCGCACCGACACATGGAGTTAGTTCAAAGCGCCAGCACACCGTGTCTCGCTCTAGTGCCGAGGCCGAGTATAGAGCTGTCGCTAATGCCATGGCAGAAATCTCATAGCTTCGGCAATTACTTCACGTGCTTCATTTCTGTCCCCGGCGTTCTTATGTGATTTTTTGTGATAATGTTAGTGCAGTTTATATCTCAACCAATCCAGTGCAACATCAGCGCACTAAACATGTTGAGATCGATCTTCATTTCGTAAGGGACAAAGTTGCTACAGGAGAAATTCGAGTTCTTCATGTGCCCTCTACATCTCAATATGCAGATGTGTTCACCAAGGGTCTTTCTACCTCTATATTTACAGAAGTTCGCTCCAGTTTGAATGTCTCGACTCCTGATTAATGTCGACGTTCCAACTGCGGGGGTGTTAGCATATTAAGAGTTGTAGAGTTGTAGTCTCTTTATTTTCCATCTCTTCCTATTTCCTTGTACTCTCTATATAAATCCACATGAGATTAATGGAAAGTGAGTTGAGTGATCCTCCAATAGGTTGTCTCAATTTGTCAAAACAAAACAGCATGCAGCCTATGCTTTCTCGTTTTTTAGTTGTATATATAAAAGAGCGATAAAACATGGAGCCGGGGGCCAGGCTGGCCGTTTTCATGATGTATCTTTTTTTATTATTCATATAGTATAAGTAAAATATTTAATTTGTCATATATTTTATGTTAATCATCATGTGCAAGCGTTTGTACTATATCATAAATTTTTAATATTTTTAGATATATCGTAAACATTAATATTTTTAGATATATTTAATCCAATTTAAAATTGCAAGTAAACGCATCCTTTTGAGTTTCCTCAGCATGAAGGATGCCTTGGGACGAGATGCCTTGCCTCCATCGATGGCGAGGAAGTGACCAAATTAGACGGATGATTATCAAACACATATATAAAAATCAAAGATAATCCAATAAAGGTAAAACATCCGCCAGGGGTGCAATACTCGAAGGCGAGGATCCACATCCTCTGCGTGTCATGGTCATAAGTCAATGACCGTTGATCGAGCAGCATCGCCATGTACACAAAGAACGCACAAATCTGGATGCACCGTTGAATAGCGGATAATAGGGAGGCACTACCGCCGTGCCTATCGGAATATTTAGGCCCGTTTGGCTGGCCTCCTTTGGGCTCTAGCTCCACATTAGTACCGGAGAAGCTGAGCAGGACTCTCAGCTCTTAGCTTATTTTGATAGGAGAGAAAAATGGCTCCCGGAAAAGTGCTACAAAGTGTAGGAGCCGGAGCCATAAAAAGCTATACCAAACACACCCTTACGCACCGCGCTCACATCCGTGGGGATTCGTTCCACAACTCTGGAGGTGTGGCTCAATTCCACGCTAGGTTGAGTGGATTTTGCTGGGATACGCGGAACAATGAATTTAGACACTTTTACAAAACGGAGCCAAATTAAATGTAATCAACAACAATAGAGGCTATATTAGCATTTTTTGTCAATTAAATGATCGAATTAAATATTTACTTAAGAAATTGTTTGTATAAGAAGGGGTCATGGCCCACTTTGGCTCCTAGGAAGCTCAACCCTTAGTAGTATTCTCGAATGGGCTAACCCAACACGCATTTCTAAAGGAAAAATGGTTCAATTTACCTTGCTCAACTATTGTGATCGTCGGATTTTGCTCTCTAAACTACAAAACTATTTTGTTTACCCCTTTAAAACTTTTAAAGCTACTTGTTTTTCCACCTTGGGTAGTTTTGCTGAAAGGCACCACATCAGAGTGGGTAAATCGAAGTATTTTAAAAGTTTATAAGTAAATTGGACAATAGTTTTTTAAATATCCAAAAAAATAATAAAAATAAATTCAATAAAATCTATCCATATATTTTTTAGTTTAAAAATATAATACAATTAAAATCCTAAAATCTAGTTTAATTTTTGATAATTTGTTTTACCACAAAAAATTATGAAAACTAGTTTTAGATTCCCCCCATAAATTCATGCTCTATCTTATGGTGCCAAATCAGCACCATAAGACGATTTAAATAGACCATCGACGTCGACTAATTATAATAGATAACAAGGGTTTCTACTAAGAAATAAGCACAAAAAGAGTCACATCAAGATTCAAACAATTTCAAGCTAGCCACCATAAAATAGTGCATGATTTTAGAAAAAGAAACCTGGAACTTGTTTCATAATTTTTCATGGTAAAACAAAATTTTCAAAGATTAAACAAGATTTTAGGCTTTTAACTGCATTTTTTTCCATGTAAAAAAATATATAGATAGAATTTTGAACAATTGTTTTTAAGGATTTTTTGAATATTTTTTTAAATTATTTGCAATCTGATTTACCTTTTTAACTTTCAACTTAGTCCGATTTACCCTTAGACATGGCGCTATATCAGCAAAATCACCATTAATCAAATCATCTAAGACAGAAAACAATCGATTTTTAAAGTTGAGGGGATGGAAACACTGATTTTTATAGTTTGGAGAATCGGACGAGAGTTAAATTAGAAATTTTTTTCCTTTCCTTTTTTTTTGAGAATCTTTTCCCTTTTCTAAAAGGTTGGGATATTTATCTAGGCCCGGTTGACCGACGGCGATCAAGGCCTGATCGAGCACAAATCGGCGGGCCCGGCCGGGCGTGTCCGATTCATTCCGATCGGATGGGAGAGAGGGGAACGAGAGCAGAGCCGGGAGAGACAGAGACTGTCGAGAGAAAGTACGAAGTCGGAAGCTCGGAAAGAGAGAAGTCTAAAGACTCGGAAAGAGAAAGGAAGAGAACGCTCGTCCATAGTACGGTATTTATATATATTGCGGCGAACGCCGAGGAAGTTACTTTGAATCCCCAACCCGCAGCGACGGCGGCGAGATGTTGCTCCTTAAGCGTTTCGGCGAGATGGTGCTCCCTATGCGTTGCGGCGACGGCAAACTCTTCGGCGACGGCGGCGCGGAGTACCCCTGCGTGAGGCGGTACCGCCACCGGCGGCTCCTCACCTTCCTCTGGCTCCAAGGCTTCCGAGACACCCACGGATCGTACGTACACGCTCGCTCCTCCGTCGATTGCCTGCTTGCTTGTTGTCTTGGATCATTGATGTATGCCTCTTCTCGCGTCCTGTGTGCAGGATGCTGAGCGAGTCGGATGCCATGCTATGGGTGCCGCACCTGAAGCACTTCGTGCTGCATGACCAATGGCAAGATGCCAATCGCTACCTCTCCCACTTCCTGCCGCTGGTCACCAGGCGCCGAACAAGCGTCGAGGCCATGGTCCTCAGGCGCGTCTTCAACGCGTTCAGTACCTTGGCCAACATCGTCGGCGGCGGGGAAGACGACCTGTCCAAGCAGTACCTCGACCACAAAAGAACCATCTGCCACGGCCAAATAAGGCTCCGCTCCATCATACTCAACGTCCAGCAAGCCAGGTTTGGTTTATACAGAGATCCAGTAGTTCTAGTTCCCTATCCAAATTAACTCGCATTAGGAGTATGCATTAGATCGCGCTTCAATTCTTTCCCCAATTCGTTTAGTGCTGCTGTCTGTTTCTGCGTGCCTCGAACCAAATCATCAATCTCGTGTTATGATAAATAAACATAACAAATACTGAAATAAACGTGGTGTGATACATAGGGCCTCGATTGACTGGGAGCGTGTGAAGGAAATGGCGGCAGAGATTTTGGAGGAATTGGCATATGCGACGCCGGAGCTCAAAGACTTGACCTTAATGCCGGGAGGGTCAATGAGGCCGCACAATGTTCTTCCCATTGGCTTTGGGTACCCACTGCTCCTTGCCTTTTGTGTTCTACCAGCTTCCACACTTGCTAGCTTATTCATCTGATCTCATCTGCTGGTCTCTGGTTTCATTGGTACTCCGTCTGTCTGTTCGATTCATATGTAATCGATCGATCTTGCCAGTTTCCGCCGGAGGTGTCGCCCAAAGAAACAGAGGACCCGGCAGCCAAAATCCCCTGCTGGAGTTGCCAAGAGCTACCTTGTGAGATGGCGCAGGTACTCCGATCCACGAATGCGCTGTTACATACTTATCTTGAGATGAACTGTATAATGATCATCGCTAGCTCAATCTCACTGTTTGTTGCATATAATGTGTTTTCTCACATTGTTCCTTTTTGTTTCTTCTGCAGACTGCCAGCTTCTTCAGATCCCTCTCAGGAAACATATGACCGTAAAATACCATTCTTTCTATAAATATTTTGTCATTAAGCATTTTTGGCTGGTAACATTTGCATATGAGATATATGTTTTCAATTGCAGAAAAGTTAACCTTGTCGTCACACTCTAAATCAAGCTTATGTTTGATTAGCCTTAAGCTCAATTTCTTGTTGATTAGTGCTTGGTAGCTTGAGCAGACATGGACGCTGTAAGCTTATCCCAACTTACATCGTAGCTTATCGTTGATAAAACTGATTATCAGCTAACTTTGTCTCTTCTGTTAACTAATTTGTTTGGGGTTAGATTATGTATGCGCTAATTTTTATAGCCAGATATCGTGTCATCATATTTACTGATGTTGAACTTGTTGGCCTTCAGATGAATGTTTAAAAGCTGGTAAAAAACCTGAAACGGAAGGTATGTTCACACATTTTACATCCCCAAATAAAGCTACTTTAAAAGTTTTCACTGTATGAACTTAATATCTAGATTTGCATGGGATGTGCTACTTGTTGAATGGCTTTTAAAGGTGTCTCAATAGGAAAATTATGCCAATAAGCTTCGGGTCATGCTTTCCATTTCAACTTCAATTTGTGTTCGTCTTGGCTCTACATGTTTTCTTTTTATATTGTGGTCCCTCATACTTTTTGCAAAAGAAAAGCACACTTGACATGTTTCATACCATGCTAAATTAGATGGAACTGTCTCGCCTTAGTTGTGTTGCCGCTGTGACTAACCTCATTTTTGTTATGCCCACTTTTCTGCACCTATTGCACCTAATTTTGTCCCAGTCCTTCTGCATCTAGCGCACTAATTTTATTACTGTTGTCAATATCATCAGTTCTAAGCCACTACCAGCCTCCATAGGATTGACGAATCCCTAAAATTTCTCATTATTAGAGAACAACTGCAGCACATCTTTATTTGCTCTGTTCATCTATGAAATTGATCCTTAATAAGAAGATATATGCGCTGTTAACTATTTTTTCGCATCTCTTATTTGGCTGACACTTCAGTGTAACAGCCATGTCAGGCTTTGATGTGTTTTCTTTGCAACTAATAAGTACCTTGATATCTCATATCTACCCTTTTAACTGTTTAATTAGTTACAGGTACTACTGCTGCCCCAGTCTTGCAGACCATCTCTAGTAGCTTGACATGCCCTGCTATATACACTGGGATCCCATCAGTTGCAAATGCAGGTAAATTGGCTAATTGCGTGCTAAGAACACCTGCTGCTCAAATTTTCCATACTATATATTTTTGTACTTAGACAACCCCTCCTTGAAACTCAGTTATATCTTAGTGACAAATGCAGGTAAACTGGCAAGCCATGTGCCACCTACTGGTGCTCCACTCTTGCAGCCTGTGTTTAGTAACTTAACAAGCGGTTGTGGAAACTCTGGTACCGGATTGATGGCAAATGCAGGTATGTTAATTGAGCAGCCTTGTTTTCACACCAGCACAAGACTCCATCCCTAAAACTGATGTATTATATCATAGGTTGTTAAGATATCTCAAATGTACTAGATTGTGCGCTACTGATAACAATATCAGTTCTAGTGCCAGTATTTATAGCCCAATTTCTACGAAGGAAGCTCTTCAAAAACTCTCTATTGTCTTTAGTTTGTTGCTTACTTCCATGTTTTGCACTAGTTTCCTGTTTCACAGGGTCCTGCTGCTTTTTCCACTATGATTAGTTGATTGCTAGCTTATTGATTGTTTTATCTTAGTGGAGGACAATGTGTTTCATGAGGTTTGTGTGCACTATATAATTGCATTTTGCAAGAGTTTCATGTGCATGCTAACTGATAACTGCATTCCCACGTAGTGGCAACATCAAACATTTACCTTTTACCAGATTACCAGGCTCCCTGTTTCTATTTTTGATTGCCAGAACTCAATAAGGTGCTCCTGTTCCTCCTGTCTCACAAACTATGAAATCAACAAACCATGCTGAAAATTCTTGTAGTTTACTGCCTTCAAGATGTTTTTTGCTCTGACAAAACTCCATTTTCTTAATTCTTCCTTGAAACTTTTAGCTGTTTGAGAGCAATGTGTAATATTTAAGAAAAATCTGCTCTAAGTATTCTTTGTACATTTGTGCATAAGTGTTTATTTGAAATATCATGATTAGCCATAAAGATGCACAAGTTGTTATTTTTAAAAAAAAAAACATGTTATGAAAATCTGTATCTCCTAGAAGTTTAAACTGATGGCCAATGTCCCGTATTAGATAGAAATGGAATACCAAATATTTCTTATTTATATAACTGGAGTAAGTAATTGGTTCCAATTGAAGGCCCTTGGCACTGCTTCACCTTGGGTCAACCAAAGTCTTCCCAAACTGATGTGACCTCTGTAATGCCTTGTCCTGGTACATTCTAGTGTGACTACTGTTTAGTCCTATGCTGCTATGCAGTATGTGTTCACCTCATTTTTTTTTCTGCGGAGGTTATCTTTAAAACATCCATGGTGCTTAAGTTGTCCATTACATTATTTGCTTCTTGTTTTGTTTTGCTTTATATCTTATTATCTGTTTATTAAGGTGCATGATAATTCATAAAAAACACTTGAATGCAATAGCCTTGCCAAACTTTGATATGTCACTTTGCATATGTAGCTGCCTGCTACTAATTCGAACTGTTCAACTTCTTCAGGTGCTATTACTGCTCCACTCTCGCAGACTACGTTTGGTAGCTTGGCAGGCCCTGTTATAAACCCTGTGGTGACATCAGTGGAAAATGCAGGTAAGTTGACAAATTATTTGATAAGAACACCTGCTGCTCCAGTCTTCCATTCTTCTAGAAACCCAAGTCTCTCGTTAGTACATCACTCCTGCTGGTTCTTACTCATCAACTTGGTACAGGTGCTCTTGTTGCTCCAGTCTCACGTAATGTGTTTGTTACTCCTGGGACGCCATTGGCAAATGCAGGTAAAACTGTTTAACCTTGTGCTAAGAGCACCTCTCCAGTATCACATGCTATTTTTAGTAGACAACCTCTGGTAGAAACTATGGTATCTGATCAGTGACAAATGTAGGTAAATCAGCATGCCATGCCCTTACTCCTGGTGCTCAAATCTCGTCGACTGTGGTTAGTTGCTTGACAAGCCCTGCTAAAAATTCCGAGCTCCCACTGATGACAAATGCAGGTTTGCAGTTTGCTCTGATACTTGGATGAGTTTTCATCTCCAGTGTTGATCCACTATATTATTGCTTGTGAGAACACCAAAAGTGCTAGCCAGAGGGACGTTTAACAATATTGGATCTAACGTTTAAATATTGTTGATTCAATTAGGAAAAATATTTGGTCTATGGATAGCATGCAGTGATTTGACGCTCACATATCTGTTGGCCAAATTCAGTGTTTCTACATTCTACTTCCTGAAAAGTTATTGTACCCCTGTTAGTATTCAGAATTTACTGCAAGAAAGCATATTATAATAATAATAATAAGCCTATTTCAGACATTGCATATTGTAATAATTCCACAAAATGTAAAGCAAGAGGGTTTCAATGCAGAGAGTGGTCACCAGGGATTGAACATAAGGAAGAATCCAAGGGAGGAGACCACTTCTTCTGATGAGCAGGATCTTCATCTGAAAAGGCAACGAACCACTGGAGCTTTCAGCCATGCAGGCCTGGTGAGAATGAGAGACTGTTCTTTTCTTTGGAACACATTACATTGCATGTACCATGGTGCTCTGTTTTTTCTCTGCAATGGAAGAAGTAGAATAACATGTTCACTGAGTATGTTTTGATCTGTAAAATCCTCTGTTGCGCCAAATCATTTTACAATATATATGTTGCCAAATACAAATTTGGTGTCACGGTGCGATTTTTCTACCGGACTGTAAAGTAACTTTCCCACAACTTATATACTAACAATCGATGAACAATGCATTTTTCCTGATGTTGCTGTACTCTAAGTCTTATAGAAGCTTCATTTACTAACATGGAATTCAAATGGTCATATTTCTCATGCATGATTCTTGAGGGCACCTCACCAGTAAATACCAGGTGTTCTAGTAAATTTGAGTTTTGTCTTAATTCATTTTACAACATGATGCACGCTATAGTTACTGTTTACCAAAGTAGTTTATTGAACAGCATCTAATACTAGTAATAACTAATGGGTGCTTGCTGGACTGCAGATGCCGGCAGTGGCAATCGAAACCTAGGCCGAGGAGATCCATGGCGCGAGCATAACTCTGAGCAGGCGAGCACCAAGCCGAGGAAAAAGATTAAGCACTCTACGATTGCTGTTAGATTATCTATCTACGATTAGCTAGGTTCAGTTGTTCTAGGCTTCTAGTCCTGCATCTACTGGTTAGCACTATAGGTGTTACGGCCTCCAAGTCAAATCCTACCTACCTTTGTCAATGTCATGTATCGTGCAACTCTGCTTCTTGAGAGTGTGAGGTGTACTTGTGAGCTACTTTATGCATCCACTATGTTTAAACTATCATTGGTGAAGCCATTCTTGTGAACTATCATTATCCCACACAAACTCATCCATAGCCAAGGAAAAGCGTTGTGTGATAGGAAAAACTTAGATCGTACAACCACAATCATGAATCATTAGGGTGTGAACAGTCAAGAACCAACCTGAGGATCAATCCCCAAGTCAACAACGTGAGGGAAAAATTCTCCAAGTCAACAACGTGTATCACCATAATGGTCTAGAACAAAACGAACAAAATAAGAAAACAAACACAAAGCTTCGCCACGCGAAAATTCATTGCCACGAAGCTCACAGTAACGATACTCGTCAAACGAAATGGCAGGATACTTCATGCGTAAATCAAAGCCAATAAGCAACATCAATACAGAACTTGTTATGATACACCAAAAGAGGCATAAACTCCCCAGCATCCTGTGCAGGTCCAAACGAAGCAACCACTAGTAGAGAATAGATCTTCGGTTCATCATACTAGTCTCAGCTAGAATTGGATCCGGGACTAATGTGTCCCGAGTCTAAGTTTCTTGAGCGTTCGAGGACCTTTAGTTCCGGTTGGTAATACCAACCCAGACTAAAAGATCAATATTAGTCTCGGTTGATGTTACTAACCCGGACTAATGTAGACTCTTTAGTCTTGGCTGGTAACACCAAATCGGAATAAAGGTCCTTTAGAGGTTAGTTCAAAAGAAAAGCATCACTCTAAAGTCATGTATGATGTGTAGGTAGGGTGTGTAGCTACACGTGAGGCATTGCATGATGCTTTAGGTTTGAATCCTATGAATCATAGATTATTTTTTTTAGCCTTGCACAGACCCTTTAGTCACGATTCAGACAACCGGGACTAAAGGACCATGCCCTTAAGTCTCAGATTCCCAGTCCCGGTTGGGAAACCGACACTAAATCCCTTTCCCAACCGGGACTATAGCCCATATGTGTACTAGTGAACCTGCGCAGGGTTCACAATGTTATCTTTATAAGCTCACAAAAACAAACCACCCTCCAAATCCAAGATGACCCCACAAAGTCAATCAACCTAAGGTCTGTGTAAACCCCTTGCACCATCTTTCTCCAAAGCCCTAGGCACGGTCGCTAGCACGCTCCGCAGCGAGACGAGTAGCAAGTTCTCCTTCCAGCTAAAAAAGAAGAATTCAAACAATCATCAGTACAAAAAAGAAGAATTCAAACCATCATCCTTACAAAAACAAAGTAAAACGGAGAGAAAGCGGTTAATCTTACCCTCTGAGCTCGAGCCTTTGCCTTCGCAAATGTAAACTCTCGTCCACCAGAATCCCAATATTGCTCATAAAACTTCCTCCCAATCTCGTTAGTCCTTGTAGAAACCTTAATGGGATCTTCAACGGGAGGAAATTTATAAGAGGGATCTTCAATCTTTGTGAGAAGACGATCTTTCTCTTCCTTCATAATGTGCAGCAATGCACGACTAGAATACATGCAACTGTAATCAGCCATGGTCTGAATGACAGTGGGAAGATTCTCGTATTGCCGGCATAAGCAACTAAAAAAATGACATGAAATCACCATACTCTCAGCATGGGCCTTCAGGCTTCGAGCCGAACTTATCAAAGCAACAACGGCTTAATTCCCAAGTCCGGTTGGCAAAATGAAGGAAGTTTGCATCTTTCTCTTCTAGTTTTTTCACAAGCAAGCAAGCCTTTTTTCGCGCTCCACTTTCACAATGTCTTCGCTCACACACGCCAAAGCCTTCTCCACTCACTACTGGAAACAGAGCCTTTGCCGAGTGCAAAAATCTTTGCCGAGTGTTAAAAATCGGACACTCGGCAAAGATCTTCTTTGCCGAGTGCCGCACTCGGCAAAGAATTGCACTCGGCAAAGAGTTCTTTGCCGAGTGCCAGGCACTCGGCAAAAAAGTGCACTCGGCAAAGGACTTCTTTGCCGAGTGCCAGACTCTCGGCAAAAGCGTGGCACTCGGCATAGGCTGCCCCGCGTAACGGTGTTCGGCCACGTCCTTCTTTGCCGAGTGCCTGCTGTTAGGCACTCGGCAAAGATTTATTTTTTTTTAAAAAAAAATTATTTGCCGAGTGTCCCAGATCTGGCACTTGGCAAAGATTTAATTTTTTTTTGAAATTTCTTTGCCGAGTGTCCCGAATCCGCACTCGAGAAAGTTTTTTTTTTGAAAAAATACTTTGCCGAGTGCTCCCACACACTGCACTCGGCAAAGATTTATTTTTTTTTAAAAAAAATGTCTTTGCCGAGTGTCTTCACAGGGGCACTCGGCAAAGAGAAATTTTTTAAAAAAAAATTCAAAACCCTCTTTGCCGAGTGCCTTATTCTTGGCACTCGGCAAAGACCCCCTTTGCCGAGTGCCATGCCCCGGCACTCGGCAAAGTTTTTTTTGTTTTTTTGTTTTTGGCTTCCAAATTTTTTGTGCAGCCCTTTTAGAAACACCAGGAACTCCTAGTTAGAATTTGGATATTTTTGTGGCTTTTGATATATTTAGTTACTTTATTTAGTTTACTTGAATTTTTTGAAAAATATAATTTTGACGCGTGATACGAATAATGGAATTTAATAATTCAAAAATGATAGTCATATTCTTGAGTGTAGTGTGAGGCCATATCCGAGAGCGTATCACGAAATTTCAACATCTTGTTCACGAAACATGACCACGAACTTGCGGTTGAGTTGTTTTAAAATTCTATAAAAACAAGCGAAGTCCGAAAATTATGAAACTTGTCAAGATGTCATGATATCATATGTGAACTCTGTGATGTTTGAGAATGTTTACGTGTCCATTATAACGTCTGATGCTTACAAACCTCACATCTCTACATGTGATATCGGATATCACATGAATATGACTATCATTTTTCTTGAATCATTAAAATTTTTATCATATCTACATGCTATTCAAATCTCAACAAGTTTTTTTTAAAAAATTCAAGTAAAATTAAATAAAGTAACTAAATATATCAAAAGCCACAAAAAAAATCAAAATCCAAATTCTAACTAGGAGTTTCTGTGTTTCTAAAAGGGTCAAATGCGTAAAAAATTTGGAAGCTAAAAAAAAAAAAAAAAAAAAATTTTGCTGAAAAGTCTAAAACTGGAAAAATGGCACTCTTGGGGCATGGGGTCTTTACCGAAAAGTCTTCAGTGTCAAGAATAAGGCACTCGGCAAAGAATTTAAAAAATTAAAAATATTTTGCCGAGTGCTAGATCGGAGGCACTCGGCAAAGATTTTTTTTAAAAACTTCTTTGCCGAGGTGGCACTCGGCAGAGAACTAAGAAAAAAAAAAAAAAATACTTTGCCGAGTGCGGATCGGGCGCACTCGGCAAAGCAGGAATTTCACCCCACCGGCCCAGCGCACCGTAACCATAACCCATTCACTTTTCACGGTCTCACCCCAGCCGCCGCCGCTCTGGTCCGCATTTCCGCTTCCGCTCCCTCTCTCCGCCCGTCCTCGCGCTCGAGGGATAGGCCACGGAGGTCCGCGGCAGTGCTCTCTTGCTGCAGGTACAGGCCCACCCATGGAGGAGACTGGCACAAGCCATGGCGGAGACTGGCACAAGCCGCCCGCCCGCCTCACCGCACCGACGCCGGCGACTTCCCGGAGCTCCTAGGTTTCTGCGCGCGCTGAGGCCCTCATCGCTGAGCTGCTCCTGCTCTCCGACTGCGCACCTCCGCTGTTCGCAGACCGCCGCTTCGACCCCGTCCTCTTCGACTTCCGGTGACATCTCTCGCTGTGTTCTCTGCCATAAATAATAAAATCCGTACCATCGCAATGCGAAAGTGCAACTTTGTGAATTCTCCTCCTATTTGTAGATAGAAATCTGCACATCTCGAGTACCCACCGTAGCTTTAAGTTTTAATAGCTGGAAGCACTGGAAGATCAGCTCCGTGACTCCTGCGGCTCTTACATGCAGATATTCTTCTCCTTTCTGATGGCGCCGTCACTTACCACGGAGAGCTCTGCAATTACCTGAATGATCTGCAGGTTAGGCTTTGCGCCGTTGCAGTGTCTTTGTAACTTGTAGATTGATGCCATTGTTGCTAAATATTTTAGATGAACTAGAGCGTCAAACATGATGCCCCAGTCCCAATTTTAGTGACACTAAACGAGTGTTCTTTCATGTTTAGGAAGGGTTATATGTCCACTGCACATTAGATCATGTGTTGGAGAATAACTGCGCATGCCAGTTACTCGTGGAGTCAATGACTCTGTTCGGATGCATGATTCTTATAATGGAACACAAAATTGGTGGGTTGCTGCGCGAGAGGCTCCTTGTGGCACACCTGCGGTACAAACGCTGTTTTAGCTATCCCAATCTGGAGCAGATATGTGAGCTCTGTCGTCGGCATGTGCCGACCCCGGTACTTCTGCTAGTCCTGGTTCATCACCATTTAGCTCGGACATTATTTCTATTCAGAAGTCTGAGGACCTACTCAGGTGGTTCCCATATTCTTGCATTTCTCAGTTGATTTACTTGTCTCTTGGGATGCATACAAAGAAGCAAAGTCATCATTAGTTTCCTGCCTTTCTCCCACTTCCATTCGTGATATCAGTCTTCACCATTATACAAAGGTGAGTATAGCAAAACATTTTATTCTATTATTATCAAAGATTTTCCTGTTTTGGATGTTGATTGTGAATTGCAGCTCAATACCTACTTTTTTCTCTAATTCATAAATTAGTTGAACTTGAAATTTTCTATGCTCCTCTTGGATTGACTATCTGTATTCTTTTCCTGAAATTTTCTCACTTTCCTTTTTTTTGACTTCTGCATGCTGTTTTTTTTCAACTCCAGGTTCCTTATTTTTTAGCTGACTTGGATATTCACATGCATGC